CTGTCTCAAAAAAAAAAAAAAAATGTTTAAGAGGTGGCAAAGTTTCAAAATTGGTAGATACAAGTTGTTTCTGCCTTTGCACTATCTTCATCTACATTTGTTCTGAACACCTTCCTCTACCCTGACCTCCTGATACCCTATGTCCTCCTCCCTCTCTGGATTCTGGATGCTCAACCTGACAGCTAAAATTTATGTTTAAAAAAAATCCTGAAAATCTGGCCACTTTCCCAAAAAATGGGATTAAGTCATTCTAAACTTTTTGGGAAATTGCAACCATTTCTAAATGATGTAGAGTATTTGTCTCCTGGCCTTTGGCCCCATTTGCCTGTTATCCAGCAGAACTTATCAGGCATCTGCCCGGACAGGAAGCATTTTAGTCATCATATAGAAAGCAAGTTACAGATACACATGTACACATGTGTACACACAAACACCCACACATGAGTCTGAAATACTATATTAAAAAATGTTTGCAGGTTGTGGGATTGTAGGTCTTTTTCTGTCCCTTCTAGCATTTTTCCAAGTGTTCTACCACAGTTTATGCATTACTTTTATGGTTTCAAAACAAATTTTTTTTAACTAAAAAAAAAAAAGTTCTGAAAAGAAGGATTGGATCTGGGGTAAAGAAAGGTATAGAAGGGGTGTATCAACCTTTTACAAGACCATTTATTCTTTCATTCATTCAACAAATGCTCCTTGAGCATTATGACAGGTGCTGGGTAAACAAATGTGAACAGAGCAGATGTGGTTCCTGTCTTGGTGTTGGTTTGCACATATTTGTTCTGCGTGGCTGGGCACAGTGCTCCTGGGAGAGGCTGGGGGGAAGGTGGGCTGGGCACATGGGGCCACACAGTAAGGGTCTGCAAGCAATGAGATTACGGTGATCGGATCTTACAAATAGGTACTTATAAAATATTATTATTAGTCTTTAGAGCTGTTTAGAAGAGGCAAAATCCAAATTATTAAATACCTAACTCCACCCCACACCCTGGCCCAGTTATGACTTGTTTATACACACTTCCCTGATAGACAGCTTCTGCATGACTCCCTAAATCTCTGCAAGTATGCAGGCAGTTTCCTTCATTTACTTTACTCCCAGGGCAAACCTCATCTTAAAGTATTTCACTCCTGATTCTAAATGAATTGCATAATCTCAAGTGTTCTAATTTCTCTAAAACAAAAGCTAGTGCCCAAGCCTCTGTGATTACTTTCCTCAAACCTTCAGGTCCTGCTTATACCACTAAAGAGAAACCCACACCTAGTAAACTGGGGTGTCTTTATCTCCTTCCACTTTTTCTCTGATTTGCAATTACCACAATGATTCTCAACTCTGGCTGCCCCTTAGAATCTCCTGGGGAGCTTAAAAAACTAAGATACCAGCCCCACCCCAGCCCAATTAAATCCTATCCTTGGGGGATTAGATGCTAAATTCTATAGGCTCATTATCTCTATTACCTTTGCAATCTGTCCATTTGTTCTGGCACCTAATGCAGGCTCTCATTACCTCTTAGTTTTGCTAATTAAACAGTATTTTCATTGTTCTTTCCCTCTAATTTAATAACAGTGGAGGCAGCGGTAGCAGTGGTGGTGGTAGTGATGGTGGTAGTAAGCAAATAGTTATTGAGGGCTTACTTTGTGGTAGGCACAATTCTAAACTCATTTCAATACACTGGCCCATTTTCACACAACAACTCTATGAAGTCAGTCTCTTCTAATCCCCATTTTAATAGGTGAGGAAACCAAGGCAAAGAGAGATGAGGTAATTTGCCTGGAGCTGCACAGATAGAAGGAGGTGGAGCTGGGATTCAAACCAAGTATATTATACAGCCTCCAGCGTGTGAGTCCTCCTCCCCAGGTAACTCAAATTTTGCTCCTACACAGGCACCCCTCAGAAGTTGCATGAGATGCTTTGACTCTGAAATGGAAAATGGTGGTCTTCTTCCAATCTGTCGAATTCCCAATTATTGTTAAGGTGTTCTCCTATAAAATTTCTGCAAGCTTTTGAGGCCTGGTATATGGCTTTGGCATATTGGAGTACAGATTATGATAATATATAATTTACTAGAAAATTATCCATTTTGCCATCTGTGATGTAATGAGGTAATTTACATTCATGGAGCAACAATCCATGTTTTCTTAGACAAAATAAAGGACCCTTGCCCTACTGCAACACTGAATTATTATTTTCAGAGCACACATCTGCGATGACTGGATGTTTGTCTGGCAGTTAGAACCAGGGGTGTAGAACCTTCTTGAGAGTTTAGGGATCTCATATATTTTTCTGTCACTTACACTGAGATAATAAGTGGTGTGAAATAGTTGATTTATTTGAGGAAAAGAGTCTAGAAAGAAAATGGAAGCTTAGAAAGGACAACAAACGGATACTGTGTATTAATACAGTATCTTGGAGCCAAGGAAAAGAGGATTACAGGAGGCTGAAGGTAGTAAATACTGTCAGCTGTGCTGAGAAAAAGCAGGAGAACGACTGGAGCTAGTTATGAGACAGCAGTTGGAGAGCTGGGCCGGGCTGCAACAGACAGGCAGAATAAGCGACGTAGTGATGTCTCTGTGAGAAGTTACCAGGTACGCATTAGAAGGAAAACAGGGTAATGCTCACAGATGGAAGGCTGAATACAGAGCTTGGCTTTTACTTTTTGAAGATGGGTTGCTCTGAACAACAGGGAAGATGTGAAACTCACAGCACACCTGATAGTTTTTAAAGGGAAATCCCTTCTTCCACAAGCAGGTGGAGATAATATGCAGGGAGATAATACAGGGACAAAAGAGAGGACAGAGGGCCCAGCCACCCCAGGGTCTGCTGGAGGGGGCCGGGGTAAGAAAGAGATTTGAAACTGTTAAAGAGAGACAGCTGTGCTGGGGGGTTGGGGTGGGACAAGCTAGGTTTGTGGCAGGGTGGATGTGGGTCAGGCGTCCTCCTCCACCTGGGCTGACTCACACCACTAGAGGGCACCTGCACCCTGTGCTCGGCCATCCCAGGTGGGACTCTGGGAGCCAGGGCCACCACCCTGGCTTATTCCTGAGTGCCTTGGTGCCTAGCCACAGAACCTGGCCCCAGGGCTTTACACAACCTAGGCAGCCTGCCCTGGGTGGCTGGCCCTGCCACTCACTGTTCCCTACACTGTCATCTGTGCCCGCCTCCCTGTGGAGGGCTGCGGGAATCGCCTGAGAGCTACACACGACATCCCGTTGTAAACCATCAAGAGCTCGGCCACCATGCAAGCCAGTCCTGTGATCACAGGCTCACCACGCCATTCTTTACCGATTCTTCTATGCATGTGCTCTTTTTCTTCAACTAGACTCCAAGCTTTTAATGAACAAGGATCATCAGTATTTCATACAAATGAAATATTTGTATGTCTGGGATTTGCTTTAAACCTCCATGTGGTTGGAGGAGGAGTATGGATAAAACGAACACAGGGGTTCATTACAAAATTCTCTCTATTTTTACGTATCTATTAAACTTTCCAAAATAAAGCTTTAATAAACATAATGTATCCCCAATGCCTCATACCTAGTATAGGGCAACAGTGAAGCCCTAGCCTGCTTGTCTGTAAAACGGACTGGTCGGCCGGGCACAGTAGCTCAGGCCTGTAATCCTAGCACTCTGGGAGGCCGAGGTGGGCGGATTGCTCCAGGTCAGGAGTTCGAGACCAGCCTGAGCAAGAGTGAGACCCCATCTCTACTATAAATAGAAAGAAATTAATTGGTCAACTAATATATATAAAAAAAATCAGCCAGGCATGGTGGCGCATGCCTGTAGTTCCAGCCACTCAGGAGCTTGAGGCAGTAGGGTCCCTTGAGCCCAGGAGCTTGAGGTTGCTGTGAGCTAGGCTGACTCCACGGCACTCATTCTAGCCTGGGCAACAAAGAGAGACTCTGTCTCAAAACAAACATAAAAAACGGACAAGCCATCCCATGCACAGGTCCTTCTCACATCCCTTGTGACTCAGGGAGTCACTGTACAGTGGGTGAACACCAGCTAGCTTGCAGGGTAGGTGGGTCATAAGACAAGCTTTGAACCAAGCTCCTAAGAAAAGTCCAGGAAAGTGGAACGCAAGTTTCCTTTCCAAGATTACCTCTTATCTGCTTTGGATTTCAGTCATTTGAGTGTCCTGAGGAGGTGAGAGGATCTGCTAGGACCCACTGCCCCTGTCTCCAAGGAGTATCCAGATCTTTCTTTGTGGCTTAGTGTTGCCAGGGGCCTGACAGAGTAGCCCCAGCTGCCCACGGGGCTTTCGTTTGCACAGATGTTAATAAACTCTATCCCTTAACATCCAGGATAGAACAGCCTCTCCAACTGCTGCCTTGCAGGAAAAAGAGAAGGCAATACAGAATGAGCTCCAACAGGAGGGAAAGGCCAGCCTTGCCCATGGCAAGTGGGCAGAGGGATTCACAAGGTAGCGGGGAAGGATCTGGGGCAGGATTCTGTGCAGAACCAGGGCGAACAGCTAGGGCCATGGGATTGGGGGGCAGTATTTCCAATCACACAACATTCAAAGTGATATGTGCATGTGTGTTAAAGTGTGCATAGGTTGTTTTTAGAGATGGGGACTTTTTCTGTCGCCTAAGCTGGAGTGTAGTGGTGTGACATGGCTCACTGCAGCCTCCAACTTCTGCGCCAGAATGATCCTCCCACCTCAGCCTCCCAAGTAGCTGAGACTATAGGCGTATGCCACCATGCCCATCTAATTTTTAAATTTTTTATGTAGATACAGGGTCTCTCTATGTTGCCCAGGCTGGTTTTGAACTTCTGGCCTCAAGCAATCCTCCCACCTTAGCCTCCCAAAGTGCTGGGATTATAGGTGTACGTCACTGTGCCTGGCATACAACCCAATTGTAAATGCAGATCATTCAATTCTTCCTCATTGCACTCACACACTTGAGGACCCCATCAGCTTCAGGAAGGTGGAAGGAGGCAGTAGCATGGGACGAAGCCAGTGACAGTGTCCCTTTGGTGCTTTAAGGCGAAAGAGACTTACCAAGTGTGCTGGCGATGGTGACCTCGTGTCCTTGACTGTGGCGCTGGAGGGGACATCGAGGAGGGGCCATTTCATCTGCAGGTACTGCACAGGGAACAGAAAAGGCAAAGCAGTTGGTGAGATGAGGCCTTGAAAATACCCAAAGTGAGCAGAGAAAGAGCACTGCAATGAGGTGTCCAGCGATCCAGGGAGGCCATTTTCACTCAACCCGCTCCGCACTGGGTCAGTTGCCAAATGGTTGTAATAGGCGAGAGCACACATTTATAATCTCCACCACCCCTATCCCCTCTGTCATTTTGGGGAGACACAAATGACAATTTAGCTGAACTTTAGGAAAGAGAAGCGATATGTCCCAGAACAATTGATCAAAGTATTCAAAGACCCTACTGGCGAGGCTCGAGTCCTCTCTGCCTTAGCCACGAGACAAACAGCAATCACTGAGGAGCAGAGGCTCCCAAACGGCCACCCTGCCCGATTCACTTCCAGCTCTCGCGGTGCCACACACAGTGCTCCCCGAGAAACAGCCTCTCCAGAAGTAATGATAAAAGCCACTGCCTGACGCAGGTCATGGGTAATATCTACCCATCCTCAAGGATGCTGGTCTTTACCTCATTATAGCGTTTCTCAACCATGAGAAGATTACCCGGGACCCCACTCTTTGCCATACCTCACGTTAAAAACCCAAACCAAACCGTAAATCCCTAACTCGTACACACAACACGCAATGGAGCATGGCACAGTGTTGGCAGGAGCCTGGAAGGGGTGAGCAGAGCAGCAGTTAGGGGCACTGGGGTCCACCATTCATGGGTGCAGGTTCTCACTCTGCCAGTAGGCTGCATGGACCCAGGACAGGTGACTTAATGACTCTGAGCCGTGATTTCATCATCTGTAAGGCAAGGCTATTATCACTTACTTTGCAGGTTGTTATAAGGAATAGGGACAATGTCAAGTATTGAACACAGCGCCCCACATGTCTGAGGCATTTGATAAATGGCGCCTATTATTTTCATAAGCAAACCATTAGTCTTTGCCAGGAGCAAAGGCATACATGTTGTCTTAGTGTCAACACTGACAGGGTGTTTCTGGGCAGCAGAACAGCAAGGCAGCCTCTTTGCAGGATTCCTGAGAGTATTTTGAGAATTAAAGCTCTCATAGGAAGTGGTGGCTCCATGAAGAGTTTTAGAGTGAGACAGAAAGAAGTCTTAGAATCATCCCTTGCTGGCTGGGCGCGGTGGCTCACGCCTGTAATCCTAGCACTCTGGAAGGCTGAGGCGGGAAGATCGCTCAAGGTCAGAAGTTCGAAACCAGCCTGAGCAAGACCCCGTCTCTACTAAAAATAGAAAGAAATTAATTCACCAACTAAAAATATATATACAAAAAATTAGCCGGGCATGGTGGTGAATGCCTGTAGCCCCAGCTACTTGGGAGGCTGAGTCAGGAGGATCGCTCTAGCCTGGGCAACAAAGTGAGACTCTGTCTCAAAAAAAAAAAAAAAAAGAATCATCCCTTGCTCTGGTCATGCAATTACAGGAACACAAAAATCATGATCTCATGATCTGGCTTTGCGGTATGTGTGCAGGAGTGGGAAAGTGGCTGGGCAGAGCTCTGATGGCCCTTCCTTGTCATCCACTACCAGCTTGACTTGAGAGGCAAGGGCTGGACTTTCAAAAAGGTGTCCATGGGTAGGACTCACAGCCCAACATCATGTGTGCCATGGGCCAGTGAGTGGCCCAGGTAGCAGGTGGGATGGCCCATGCAGGCCTGGCCATGGAGGCTGGGTGGGAGACAGAAATGAAGTGGGCATTAGGGGCCCTATGAATAAGGTACCTCTGGGCCTCCAGACCCTGCACTCTCCACCTGCCCAATGGGGTCTCACCTCTGTCCCTGTCCTCTGGTGATACTGTTCTCCTCAGCCCCACTCACCTCTTGCCCCTACCCAGAGCCTACACTTTCTACATGAATTAACTGGGATTTCTGTGCCTTTGGCAAGTTAAAAGCACTTGGACAAATATTGGTGTCATTAATTAGAACTCATTTCCACAGTGAACATTTGTGCTACACCTGCAGTTTTCAAAAAATTTTCAGCCCTAGAACCCAGTTTAATCTTCATAAGAACCTTGCTTTTGCAAGTAGGGGTGGCTATCCCAGATCTTCAGATGAGCTCATGGATATAAACATAGGCTAAATGGTTTGCCCAGCTTTTAAGCATGAGAGCTGGAGCCAGAGCTTAGGTCTCTTGACTTCAAATCCCACACTTTTCAGGGCACCATGAAGCATGACGCGTTTCCAACACCATCTTCATCAACACCCCCACCTCTACCTTGTCTTTGCTCTGATGGGTTTTATCCCTCCTTTTCTGTCTTGCACAGGCCTGGTCACCCAGAAACGGAATGAATATACACATGTCCATATTCTCCTGTAGGGCTGCTTGAGGTGGCCTGAGCTTACACTCGAGTGCTAAACATCACACTGTTTTTCTAGAAGCAACAACCTGAACATTTGTGTTTTGTTTTTAAAAACTGAGCTACAATAACAAATATCAGGTACTAAAGAGAAATGTCCCAAATCCAGCCCCCTCAACATTAAACATGATAGAAAAGTTCCTAATATCCATCAACTCCACCTGTATCTGGTCCCCATTTAGAGTCATAGGGACACACATGCTGCAAACTGGCTAGAATGCTGTGGCATCAGCCTAGCTCACTGCAACCTCTAACTCCTGGCCTCCAGCGATCCTCCTGCCTCAGCCTCCCGAGCAGCTGGGACTATAGCACACCATCACACCCAGATGATTTTTCTATTTTTGGTAGAGACAGGGTCTCATTCTTGCTCAGGCTGGTCTCAAACCCCTGAGCTCAAACAATCTTCCTGCCTCAGCCTCCCAGAGTGCTAAGATTACAGGCGTGAGCCACCACACCTGGCCCACTCTTTATTCTTGTTGGCTCACCAGGGGTGTCCTCAGACCATATGGAGGTGGCTCAAAGGAATGTGAATCCTAGCTTGGGGTGACGCTAGAGTTTTGGGTCTTTAATAAGTGCCGCTCAGCATAGTTGGCTTTTAGGACTGTAGCACAGGGTTTCTCAACCATGGCACTGTTGACAGTTTGAGTCGGATAATTTTTCTGTAATGTTTAGCAGCATCCTGTCCTACCTACTAATTGCCAGCAGCTTCCTACCCAGTTGTGATAATAAAAAATGTCTCCAGACTTTTGTGAAATGTCTCCCTGGGTGGGGGCAGTAAGGGGTGTGTGGGTGTGAGTATGCGCAGGAAGGGAGGGGTATGGAGAACTGTCACTTCCCCCTTTACACATTTTTGTCTTTTTAAGATTCTGCGAGGGGTGATGGGAGTGGGGTGGGGGAAGACCTCTAAGACTTTGGAGCCCCTGCTGCGTGGCCGTGGACTGCCTCTGCAGTGCACTTCAGAGGAGAGCAGCATTCTACAGGGGCAGTTGTGCTTTACAGAAGTGACATGCAGCTGAGCTTAGATTCTCTGCATGGTGATGGTATGGGGGCAAATTAAACTGCTGGTGTCTCCATGCCCAGTCTAGGCTGCATTCAACTGACTACCCAAGGCCCAGGTGCTCCTGACCAGGTATCACGCTGGGCTTCGGCACATGGTGACGACATGCACACAGGATGAGCCAGTCACCTCCCTCCTGGGGCATGGACACTGGGATATAAAACATCAGACCTGTGTGGCATCAATGCAAGTGATGGCCAAGCAGTAGTGATTGCTGCCACTTCTGGGGTGCTGTCTGGGTTACGTACTCTCTTCTGATACTCAAAAATAGGGGAAAAAACCAAACCCAAGTGGCAGGAACTATAGTCCTCACTTTACATATGCTACTCAACATGCTACTGAGTGTTGTGACTACATAAGACAGGACAGATATGCAGTTTTCCAATCTTACTGAATCTGGGAAACTCTTTTGGGGGGACTGGGGTTCCGCTATTGTGGTTCACAGTTAAGCAGAGTGAGGCTGTGGTTTAAAACATGTCTTTACCTTGTTAGGGAGGAGTGATTCTATTCCTATTTTTACATTGCTTTCATTGGAGTTGTTGAATTCTTCTCTCAGCATCCACCAAAACAGTCATGTGGTTTTTCTTACTTGACTCATTCATGAGATATATATAGAGTAATAGATTTTCTTACACTGAAGCACCTTTGCATTCCCCGGGGTAAACCCTATTTGGTCATGGTGGTTTGTTTGCTCTTGTGCTATACTGTGGAATGCTTCATGTTTTAAATTTTTTACTTCTACATTCCTAAGCAAGGGTGAACAAAAGTTTTCTTTTCTTTTCTTTTCTTTTCTTTTCTTTCTTTCTTTCTTTCTTTCTTTCCTTTCTTTTTTGGTGACATCATTATCAAGTGTTGCTATTAGTGTTATTCTGGCTTTAATATTTGGAGGTGTGCTGCTCCCCTTTTCTTTCATGTTCTGAGCCTCTTTCTGCTTCTTGGGCCCCTCCTTAGAGCCCTTCTTGGGGTGAGCACTTGGCCAGGTGGGCTGTTTCCGCCCGCTCAACTCAGGCCTAGGGCAGGGTCCCTCTGAAGGATGCTCTCACTGGAGAGCTAGAGCCCCTTTTCCTGTAGGGAGGTGGAGAATCCGTTCTACAGAATCCCACTTCGATTGGAGACCATGTAGCAGATTAATTGCAGCTGTGCCCTGGAATTTCCCCAACACACAAATCTTCATGATGTAAAACAGCTGGGAGGAAATCCCAGCATGCCCTGTACAGAGGCAGAACTGCCAATGAGCCACGGAGATTAACCCTCTGGCTCCCAGAAGGTAGGGAGGGCCCCTGCCCCGGCCATACGCACCCTGTCCCACACTTGCTTTGTGTGGACAGGACTCTGGGGAACGCCCACATTCTCCCTGTTCACACGTCCTCACAGAAAACCCTTTCAGGAAGGCTGGGCAAGAGAGGAAACAAAGCTTCATGTTACAGAATCCACAGCAATGCTACCCACGGTTGAAAGCAAGGAAAACAAGTCATCTCCAAAAACTTTGCAGGTGAGAAAACTCCAGCCCACAGAACGCCTTCTGCTGCTTCTAGAGCACCCAGTATGCAGAGAAAGTATATTTT